TGGCGAGAGGAAGCCCTATTCTTGCAGGAATCCTCCTGCAATGGGCTTCTAGTTGTAATAATAAGAGCAATGAAAACAATATGTAGTACTGTTCCTATCAAGTTTTTTTAAAAGTCACTCATAAATATTCTTAGGGTTGCCTTGTGTACTGTTTATGTGTGTCTACTTAATACCTGTTGAACCTTTGAAATTGATCAGTAGTTGATTTAAAAAAAATTTTAATTTTCCCTAACAAAATTTATAGTAGGATGGGCAGTTGGGGTGGGGATGGGTGGGTAATTTAAAGCAAAAATTAGTAATATATGGTTTACATAGGCATGTGTAAAACCCGTATTTCAGAAATCATATGCTTTGAAGATAGTTGGGGGACGAGGGTGAGGTTGCCCTTACAACCTGTATTGCTGATTGAATGTATGGGTCAATTACAATTTAACTATAGTTTCCTTTTTTTTCTTTTCAATATATTTTTATTGATTTCAGAGAGGAAGGGAGATGGAGAGATAGAAACATCAATGGAGAGAGAATATCATTGATCAGCTGCCTTCTGCACATCCCCTACTGGGGATTGAACCTGCAACCCAGGCATGTGCCCTTGTCCAGAATCGAACCCAGGACCCTTCAGTATGCAGGCCAACGCTCTATCCACTCAGCCAAACCAGCTAGGGCTTAACTATAGCTTTCGACTAGATCTCGAAGCATCCAGGACTTCGAGTAGGATCCTAAATCTCCAAAAGACTACTCATTTCCTTCACTCCAAGGAGGTCCTTAAGTTAATGGTTATTCTGTGGAGGAAGGCCCCTGGCTTGCGATTTACAGTTACAAACGTTAATTGGTGTACTCTTTGTTAGAATTAAGCAAAAACAATGTACCAAATGGTGATTTGACTGATCATTATGCCACCGATGAACTCTGAAAATTCTAGTTAAGAACTTGTGCTCACTCCTCAGGAGTCTGGCTGTACCATTCAGATGTAAGCAAAGGCAAACAAGAGTTAGGCAAGTTTCAAAAACTTTAATAAAGAAAAAAAAGACACTTCCAAAAATAAATGCCACACAAATGAAAGTTTATAAAAAAGTGTAAGATATTCATGAAACAAAATCCCTATCAAAATATCCTAAATACTAAAATCTAATGATGTTGAGTGTTCAAATTTTGGGAGAATGCAGCTTATAATAATATAACTGGGAGTGTTCTTCATAATATGCCTGTTTCAAGACATCACTTAATATAATTACTTTTAAACCTATATTTTCTTAAACATCCATTTCACAATTCATTTAAATATTTTACATTCATTTATAAAAACACACTTTCTAACAACGGGTTATTCTGTGTCTTAATAATAATGAACCATGGTAAAATACTTCAGTGATTTAAATGTCTTGCTAATGACTACATCCGTCACAGATTCTTGCACACTTATATAGCTACCGCATAATCAGAAGAGCTATCACTCTTAAAAATGACACTCACCCAAGTTTAGTAAACATGCTAATAATTAGAGATGTATTTTTCCCAAGTTAAAATACTTTCAAGCTTTCTTTAAAATCTGCAAAGATAACCTGCTTATTTAACTACTTTTTATTGGCAATTTATAAAGCCAGGAGAAGCATCATTTTAGAATTTTCTCCCTAATTTCTATAGTAAAAAAGAAAAAGAAAAAAAAAAGATGTTCTTTTTCAAAGTGGATGGCATTAAAATTCTATTTTGGAAATTATAATTTTAAAATGTGAAGAAATGCAATGTCAGTTACATCTAGAGTGGTATTTTAATGAATTAACCTAATTATTCTTCAGGTCTATACAGATTTTTCTTCAGTGTGGGTGACACTATCTTATACGCACACATCTTAGTACTTCAGTAATTAATCCATTTTAGTTGTGATCCAAGACAAACACTAACTTATTCTAAATTCTCTTCTATAACAAGGGACCAATCTATATCACCTTTAGACTGACAATTTAGTGAACAGATAAAAAGCTAAAGCAATAAAATTTATATCATTAATGGTGGTTAATTAGCCAAATCAACAGACCTTAGTCTCACAATTTGGAATTAATTTTCATGCAAAATTTAACATAGAGTTTTGATCCTTTACTTATAAAGTATTATTTTATCTTTTTAAGTAATCAAGACAAGTAGTAGAAAAAGCATTTTATTTATATGGAAAAGCTACATTAAGATCTGTAAAAGGTGTCATTATAATATTGCCTATACAGAAAAAAATTCAAATGTGAATAACAACAAATAAAAGTTACACATCTTCCTACTTAGCAGTGCAATTAATTCACATTGCAATAAAGTTAAGTCAAGTATAACAAAATCAAAACAAGTGTTTCTCCATAATCAGTATACTGAGAATTACAGTGTAAAGATCATTCAGGTTTAAGAAATCTGCAATTGATCTACACAGAAAACCCTAAGACAAGGGAGACAGACAGTTAATTCATTTAATTATCAGCTGTTCGGTTTTTTTCAATACTGTTCACAGGAAAAAAGTAATGAGTTGACATACATGTAAATAGAATATATTTAGTCTATACAGTAAAAAAATACAAATTATAAAGTGAGCTAACAAAGAATGAAATCTGAATAGATTTATAAAACTGACGACACAGACAACACATACAGTATTTCTCATGTAAAAACATCTAATTTCAGCAAAAAATAATTTGGTTACTTTTCAGATGTTTTGTAGATCTTGTAAGCTGAAGATGCAGATGTCCAAGTATCTTAAAATCCATAATAAATGTCTTTCTCAATGCATACAAAAAGACTCTCATCACAGTCTTAAGGGTATTTTTGGAAGTTTGTTTAGTCTTGCTTCAGAAATACATTTAAAATGGACAAAAATCAAAGGATTTCATGATACAATGAAACAGTAAACAGTGCTCAATTTACTGTTAATATTGAAAAAAACCTAGATTTTACAGTACTCTGGTATATATGAAATTTATTTTTATTTTACATTGCATATTTCTGAGTCCATTCTCTTGCGTGTCTGTTGTATCTGTAGGCATACAAAAGGGATATAGTAAAAACATACAAATTGAATCTTGTAGAAGATCTAGCTACATAAAACAGTATACTCTACCCTCCTATGCTTACGTGCAGTAATCATACATATACCAATTATTGGTTCAATGTGACTTCGCCTTATGCACAAATAAAACAGAAAACTTAAGTCAAATTTTTACCTGATGGATTTGTCTACAACCTATATGAAAACATACCTAAATTATAAATAACAAAATGAAAAAGAAAACAATTTATGGTAATAATCTATAAAAGGCAATGAGCATTACTTGTAAATTGCAAATGAATCAATGGTACCAGTAAGATGAAACAGCTTGAAAACTAGGTCAGTTTGGGTGGGTTAGGGATAACTTCTTTTCCTGGGAGATTAGGAATATAATATCCAACACTTCCCAATCACCAAATTCTTTCATTTTTAAATTTACTCCCTAGAATTATACATAATTCTTCCCTACCAAAAACATAACCTACTGTGCAAATACAGAACGTGTACTATTAAAAAGTAAAGGATTGAACAGTATGTGAAAAAGAACAAGATTTTTTTTTGTAAAAAGACAGAGTTTAAAAAGAAAGGTTTACTACACTGGAAAGAAAAACAAAATCAATGTTAAGTATAATAAGCATAACTAAATGTACTTATTAAATATATTGGTAATACTTACTTTTCTTTGTCTGATTTATAGATTTGTGCAATATCTGGTACTAAGGGGTCATCTGGATTAGGATCACAAAGTAGAGAACATATGGACAATAAAACTATATTGAAAAGAGAATACCATATTAGATAATGATCTTTCTTCTTTATACAATTACATATGTGAAAATAATTTCATTGAATATAGACAATTAACTTACAAAGAAAACAAAACATTAAATTACATTTTAGACTATAGCTGGTAGCAAGTATTTTTAATTTTTAAAATTATGATATTACCATATAATATACATAATATGCAAAACTATAATTTTTAAAGGTTTAAATTCTATTTGAATTTCTATTTATTTAAAAAATGTGGACCTCTAAAGTAGCTATTATAATCTTTAAACTCAAGTGTTTTCTACAAAAATATTTTGGTAACACACACATACCCCAAATGATACATAATAAAAAACTTTTTAGAATAGCATTCTAACTTTAGATGTCTCTTAGAGATACTTCTGTAGAGGAAACTGTCCATTTTATTCTATTTTAATACAGAAAATCTGTGTTCTAATCAATTCAAGGTAAATCAATCAAATTACAGTTAATAGTCCAAACCATTCGGACATTGTGCTCATGTACTTTTATACTCTGGCTTAGTGATATACAGTGTCCACAAAGAAGGAAGATTTGTAAGATTTTTCTCAACGACTCTTTTATTCCATGTATATTATTTGTATCACATGCATGGAAAAACAATGTGAATAGTTACTCTGTAACTTGTATATTTTTAAATATAGATGAAAATTTTAAAAGTAGTTGTTTCTTGCCACATTACGTCAAATATAAATACAAATAGCCACACAGACACACAAATCTAAGTATATGAAAAAAGAGGGAACAAGACTGGTTCCTCTCTTGCCTCAACTGCATGCCACCACTTCTGAGGGGGTTCGTGGAATCTTTGGAACAACCTTGCATCTTCAGCCTCTTCTACTATGTTCCCTTATCTTTTCCTATTCTTCAAATTCCACAGGTGAATGTATAAAGCAAAGTTGATTCTTACATGACACAAAAAGTGGGTGCTAAGAGCACTAATATTAAAACTAATACTTATCTTCCTTAGCTTCCATTGTATATTAAACCTAGGCTAATGTCTCCAAAAAGTTTCCAGATAAAAATCAAAATAAGACATTTAAAATAAGACATTAAAATAGCTGTATTTTTAGGTAGCAGGTATAAGCTACCTTACAAAATAAGCAAGAGGCAAGTTCCTCATCTCCACAGGCCTGCTGCCCAGCCACAAGCCCTGATTTCACTATTATGCACAAAATCAAATGTTTTAAGATAAGTAAAACGGAATGTTGACACTCATTGTGTGCTTACTGTGTGTCAGGTGCATAGTGACCCTATATTATTATAATTCCCACTTTACATATGAGGAAACTGAGGCCATTTGAAACTGTTACTGAAGACAGTTACCAGAAAGCATCAATACTAATTATTTTTTTTTAGTTTGTGCTAAATCATTTTTAAAATGTGTAGCTTCAGGACATTTATTATAAAAAGCTGTTTTCATATACATGACTAACAACTTAAAATTCACCATACATTTACTTCATTTTTTGGCTTGACCGTCTAGTAAATCTTTAGCTTCATTGATTTTGGCTGCTATATAAGGAGATCCTCCCTTGTCTTGATTTAAAAAAAGCATAATTCGTCGGTGAGCATCTCTTATTTTTCCTTTATTGGCAGTAGGGCTCTGTAATAGCCACCACTGAAGGCAGATTTTGATAGACTTTGAAAAACTTGTTTCACTTGAGGCTCCATATGCTTCATGGCTTGCAAAACATAACGGCCTGCAAATCCTGCAGCAGCAATGGTCAATCCAACTGCTATCACTGTACTGGTCATGGCTCCGGCTCGGCTCTCCTGCCTCCGCCGAGAGCGCGTTTCATCCCAGCCTGAAAGGCCGCGGCCACCAGCTCCCTGCCGCTACCAGAAAGCCAGGGCGCCGCCAGCGGGGACCAAACGTCCACACTCGGCGCCCAGAACACTCGGTAGCGGCCAATACCAATTATCCTAGCTAATAAAAGAGAAACGTGCAAATTGACCGTACCTCCGCTACACCAACAAGACACACCCACCACCCAATCAGGAGTTGGTATGCAAATTAACCCAACAAAGATGGCAGGTTATTTTGCATATGCAGGCACCCAGCGGCCTAGGTCCCGGGAACATCCTAAGGACCCAGGCAGCTCAGAGCCTGCAGGCCCCAGCATAGGCCCTGAGCAACCTTGGTCCCAGAATACCCCTGGCCACTCCTGGTCTACTGACCTTGGCGCCATGGGGGTGGGGCAGCAGAGGCTTGAGCAGGGCCAGAGAGGAGCGGAGGGCCCTGCCCAAGCCCTGGCAGAGGCTTGATTGGAGCTGGGGGGAGTCCTACCCAAGCCGTGGCAGAGGCTTGAGCAGGGCCTGAGCGGAGGGGAGGGGGGGTGGCCTTGCCCAAGCCTCGGGCAGAGGCTTGAGCAGAGCTGGGAGGCCCTGCCTAAGCCGCATTGGAGGCTTGAGCAGTCGCGGAGACAGGGGATGTGCCAGCCTAGGTTTGCCAGCAGTCCTGCCTCTGCGGGTGAGCTGCAGGGGAAACACCTTTTCTGACAGTTCATTGGCTAAGCTCCCTGTACGCCACTGGTAATGTTCTTGGTAACTTGGGTAACAAGAATCCAAAAAGGTGATCTAGGGTTTTTTCACCTCACTCCTAGAGGAAAAAACGAAGGTCTGCTGCTGGAGGGCTAAGAATTGTCACGTCCTGCCCTAGCCAGTTTTGCTCAGTGGATAGAGCCTCAGCCTGCCCACCACAGGGTCCGGGTTGATTCTGATCAAGGGCATGTACCTAGGTTGCAGGCTCCTCCCTGGCCGGGGCCCAGGTCAGGGCTCATGCAGGAGGCAACCAATCAAGGTGTCCCTCTCACATTGATGTTTCTCTCTGTCTTTTCCTCTCTCTTCCACATTCTCTAAAAATCAATGGAAACATATTCTCAGGTGAGGATAAAAAAAAAAAGAAAGAAATGTCATATCCTATGAAAGACACATCTTGAAAATGCCTAAAGAAAGTTGTCATTTTTTTCATGGTGAAGGGACTGGAGTCCGTGTTGATGAAAACACCTTGGCAGCTGCAGTGGCGGACAGTGGCTGCAGCAGCAGGGGGATGGGGCTGGCGCCTTCCCCTAATCAGCTGGGCCGCCTCCCATGGAGGGAGGTCAGAGGGCTCCCAGGCTGTGAGAGGGGGCGGGCTGGGCTGGGGGGAACCCCCCCCCCCGTGCACGAATTTCGTGCACCAGGCCCCTAGTTCTTTATAAAAAGCTACCAATATCAGAAGATAAATGTTCAACATCTGGCAGTCTGCCATTTTTTTTACCAGTATATGTGTAAGTATTTAGCTGCTTATGCCAAATGAATTATATTTTCCAATACCATTCCAGGAAAGAACATAGGAATTTGAATAACCCTTGCCACAGAATCTTTCCTACATCTAGTGCATAACGGCTACACTACCATGTGTAAGATTTTTTAAAGGACAATGAAATCTACATGAACATTTTATACAAACATTTTAGGTCAGAAAAACTGCCATTCACAAATAACTGACTGACATAAAGGGCTATTATTTACCTAATACTTGAAAAAATTATGGCTGTAGACTCCGTTTCCTATAAACCTCATCACTTTTAAAAACAAGTCATATATTCAGATAGCATTTATTTCTTTTGTTTTAATTTTTAAATGACCATGGATCTCTCCGTGAATCCTTCAAGAGAAACAATTTTCTTGAATTTTATAAAAGGAAAATCTACCAAATTACTTCAGGGGCAGATGCTTCTAACTCAAAACAATATTTTTCCAACTGTCAGGTGCTCTTCTGTTTAGAGAAACAAGACTTGATTTAAGAGGATTCACACAGCAAATAGTATTTGCTAAAGAAACAAAAAGGGCTTCAGATGTACACATCTGATAATTTAGCAAAGAACAATGTTACAGATTACGTTAAGAATCCACATGGCGTATGTATTAGTCATTATGATAATGCTATTGATTACTCAAAGTTTAGAGCAGTGATTTTCAACTGGTACGCTGAAGAATTTTAAAACACACAATACCAGAGTATTTAGTCAGGGGCACTGACATCTTTTTCCTTAGATTATCAAATAAAAAATGACAACAGCCAACACAACAATATGTTGTGTTGAATGAATCAAAATTATATGTATTTTTTCTCAGATCAGGAAAAATAATATTTTTGGTGTGCCACAGGATTTTAATAATTAGTGTGTGTCGTAAGATGAAAAACATATGTATTTTTTCTCAGATCAGGAAAAATAATATTTTTTGGTGTGCCACAGGATTTTAATAATTAGTGTATGTGTGTCGTAAGATGAAAAACGTTGAAAATCACTAGTTTAGAATAATGTTAGATGTACTGCATCATTCTAAAATGTGAAATATGTCTTAAATCATTTATCAACCTAATCTGATATTTCTTCTTAGATGAAGTAAAACAAATGTAAACCTTTAATCATTATGTCAGTAATTCCATTTAATAAATGGGACAATGGGCCCTAGAATCATATATTTACTTCTCTCTTCTTAAAGATAAGCTAAAACTAAAGGGTAAAATGTCGAGAGGCTTATCCCCAAATTTCTAGCTCTAACATTTTAAATTTCTCTTACTTCATCATTTAGATTTGCTTACCAACACCACCACCACCAAATTAACTGTTAAAGGCTAAAGAGGCCTGGCTGGTGTGGCTCAGTGGTTGAGCATCAACCTATGAACCAGGAGGTCATGGTTTGATTCCCAGTCAGGGCACATGCCTGGGTTGTGAGCTTGATTCCCAGTAGGGGGCATGCAGGAGGCAGCCAATCAATGACTCTCTCTCATCGCTGATGTTTTCATCTCTTTCTCCCTCTCCCTTCCTCTCTGAAATAAATAAAAACATATAAAAAAAAGTTAAAAAGAATACATATAAGAGCTATGAAAGCAAAGCAAAATCAATCCAGGATAAAACACAGTAGATTGTTTTGTTTTGTTTTTAAACTTTGGGCCTTAGATACTTCTGTATTTTTCCTGTTTCACTATTATCAGCTGTCATATATCTGATAAATGAAATTACCTTTTGATACAGTCAGAGCTGGTGACCATTGTGACCTCAGGATATCAAGACAAATACTTCCATTACTGTTTATGTTTGGATGATAAATTTTTGTTGTGAAAGCAATCTAAATATAACACAAAACAAAATAAAAATGTGACAATCCATGAACAATGAGCATAACAGAACCAACTTACTCTAGGGTAAAATGTCTTTAAATTTAAGCACCCTAGTGGAGAAATGTATTCAGCACAAATTGAATGAACATCCACTCTGTGTGCACAAAGTTTTAGCTACTAGGCATGTGAAAGCAGATAAAGTAAGTTTTCCCACTCCCCCGCTTCCCCCACCACTCTCCCCCGCCACCTCCAGCAAGAACCTGAGAAATATTTTGGAGAGTGCAGTATGAGAGCTGACATGACTGCTGAGTAGCAGCTGAAGTAATTAACCATGGCTTTGATGATCCCCCAAAGTAATCCTTTTCTTCATTTGCTTATCAAGGATACCTGGAAGTGACCCTAGGGTCTAAAAATAGGGTGCTGACCCTGTTCTGGGGGAAAGTGGAGGGGCCTGAGTTTGTAACCTGTCCTAAGAAATCCACCAGGAATCCTAATCTCCCACAAGACTTTTTGTTATACCGTTTCATGTGTATATAACGCTATTCAGGAATTTTTAAAAATCTAAAATAATTATTTGCTCTTCCTCTCCGGAGCACACTGGCACCTTTCCCTGGCCCTTCCGCCTCCCCCAGGTGCGTTACATCTGCCTTTCTCTCTCCTAAGCTCCACGGGCCGTCTTTTGCTCCTGTAACTTGTTTCCCAAGCCTATGCAGCCTGGCTGGCTCACTTCTACTACCTCTGTAATTTTCTAAATAAGCTTCTCTTATAACTTGAAAAAATAAAATAAAATGAAGTAAGTGTTTCCTGAATGACAGAAGTTGTTAATGATTTTCTCCCTCCTGATATCCCCATCATTTGTTCCCTCTTTAGATCTAATTTAAATTATATTGAATAAGAACATGTTGTTATCCCTCCCACCACACTAAATAAAAGGCCTGTGTCTTATTTACTTTTGTATTCTCCAATGTCACAGAACATGGTAAGCGTTCAATAAATGCTTGTTGAATACTAAAAACTGAAAAAAAAAGAGTCAACTTTGGAAAGATAATCCCCTAAGTGGAAAAGTCTGATTCCTGACCATAAAACCCAAACTACAGAGATCTAATGAAGAGGAAAAGAAAGGAACCTAATTTACAGCGTAACAGACACTGCCTTTTGTTTTACAAACGTAATACAATTGTTTGAGTAAGAAACATACTTTAGACTCAGTAGTTTTACAGAACAGTTGAACACGCTAACCTGTCTTGGACATAATAAAAATATCTCTGGATATACCCCTTTTGTCATCAATCACAAAAATAAAAATACCTTTGGTGGTTTAAAAGGATAGTCTGTTGGAAAATGTACAGTGAGAAAGAAGACTCCACCTTGATATGCGCTATCAGGCTGAAATCACAAAACATTTGCATCAGTGTTTGATTACTACATATATTTAATAACCTCAGATGACCCCCCTCCCCACCAAAATATGTCAGTTTGAAAAACATGCCATCATTTTGTCAAAAGTTCAAATCATTTACCTTGAAAACAGACTTTCTTTTGCACGTATGAAGGAGGATTTTCCAACTATCATGTCAACATCATAGAGTTTAAAGCAAATAAAAAATAGGACACACACACAGTTGTGTGACTTGCCCAATCAAATTTGTTTACGAGTATAGATTTTTAAATATCAGTATACACACAAGACTGCTGTAAGAAAAGAATAATTTTCTGTGGCAGTAATCAGTATGAAAAAAAGGGCTGGGGCTAGTATTTACCTTCTAATTTATGAAACTTAAGTCCTAATAGTCCTCTAAGGGGCAAAAGAATGGAGATGAGCCCAGCGGTGTGGCTCAGTAGTTGAGTGTCAACCTATGAACCAAGAGGTCATGGTTCCATTCCCGGTCAGGGCACATGCCTGGGGTTGAGGGCTCGATCCCCAGTGTGGGGCGTGCAGGAAGCAGCCGATCAATGATTCTCTCTCATCACCAATGTTTCTATCTCTCTCTCCTCTCCCTTCCTCTCTGAAATCAACAAAAATATATTAAGGAAAAAAAATAATGGAGATGAACTGAAGAGAACAAGTTATGAAAAGGATAGGCTAAGGGACAGCATTACACAATTTAGACCGCAAATCTTCACTCAATAATAATTTTTAAAATAATGTGAAAAGGTTCCAAACAAAACTAATAAATTCAATATTCATGGAATTATCAAATTAGGAATCAACAAGAAGAATCTACATTTGGCCAGGAATCTTTATGGCAATTAGAAAATATGCTACAAGCGAGGGAAAAAAGATACTTTTTTTAAAAGGTAGCAAACAATAGCTAATATTTTATTTTAATTCCCTTATATTTAATTAAATTTATCATGTTATACTAACATTTTGGTTATAACAGCAAGCCTATCATTACTTCTTCCTTAATTTCTGCATATATATTAGAGGACTGCACTGTATAATTATTCTTACTACATGTATTGCTTAATTCTAGTTCATAAAAAATAATAAGGAATGTAGAAAACCTAAGTACATTACAATTGACAGTCATGGTCTGCTTAGATTTTCAAGTAATACGACAGAATAACATGTTTACATTACTAAAATAAAGGGACTATGAGTAACATAATTATAACCATTTGCTACATGTAATTCACCTAAGAAATATTTTTGAAGGGCTATAATTCAAGTGGTAAGAATGGGTCTTTTAAAGATAGTATTTTGAAGGTTCTTAGTAAGCAACGGAAAACAAACAAATAACCAGATTCTTAAACGTTGTTTAAATAAATATGCTGCATTTTACCCTTTAAAAGGCTAACCTAACAATTTAGCAACTGAGATACTTGCCCAGTACTCCTTCTCTGAAAAATCAGTAATTGTTTTTTTTTTTTTTTTAAGTTAAAGACAAGATAAAGCTCTTTAGGGGGGAACAGAAGAGAGAAAGATGTTCATGGAAACATGTTACTATGTTTCCCGGAAAGCATCTTTGAGCTATCAGTGCCCATTCTTATGCAATCGGATTTTTGCTCATAGAAAGGAAAGCCTCTTTCTAGTCGTAACTGCCTCTTGGGTGTAGAAACAAATAATCTTAACAAAGGCAGTTAAGTGTTGAGAAAGCCACTCATAAAATAGCAGGTAATTTTGACTTCAGGATAATCCAAGAAAACTGAAAGCAGCAAACTCATGAGGTGGCAAAGACAGACCCACTACAGTATTTTATCAGTTCTCTCTCACAAATAGGAAGTGATAAAACTTAGCGCAGACTGGTATTTGTTACTTATAGGAATTCATTATTGGGTTACTTACACTTATTTCTGACCTACTAAAACTATTGATGTGAGAATTATGCTTAGTTCTGAATCGCTGTTTTTTTGTGTTAAAAAAAAAAAAGACAAAGGAAACACACAGCCTGGTTACAAATTGTGGGTGATCCAGAACTATACGTAATTGATCAAGGATTTGGCAAAGGAAAACACACGACAATGATCCTAGAAGTATTCGCCATCAGTGCTGTAGACAATTATCATAAACCCTGTAATTACATTTTGCTTCCTGGGTGATTCAGATACAAGAAAATTCAACCTGAGCCACAAATATCTGATCAAAGGTGAAACGGCAAGAATTAAGTATGGCTGAGGGGATTAATTTCATATATAGGAATCATACTTACAGGTCCCATAATAGTTGCTTGCCAGTGGAACACTGAAACAAATAAAGGAGGTTTGGAGTCATTAACAAATGTTGGAACCTGCATTATTAACTGTAGCAAAATGCTAGCAATAAAGCAAAGCTTACGGTCGTCTCCCACAGGTCCGGCGGAGCAGTGAGCAGGTGGGTCACGCTGTAGATCACTTAATTCCTGAAGCGAAACAAAATACTTAAGGTTAATTCTTTTTCCAGTGAAACAGCATAATAATCCATGAAGACACAAATTATCAACCTCACTATACAACCAGTTAGGCACCTAGTTCAATTCAAAACATGAAAACAAAATGTGGCCTAAGCCGGGGTGGGGGGTGGGGGTGGGGGAGCCGTGGCCACTGAGCCTCCCGCTCAGTGTTTCCTCTCTCGCCCCTGGGCTCCGGGGTTGGGGGTCCGTGCCTGCGCAGGGTCTCCACACTGATTACCTAAAGTCACAGAGAAATGGTGGAAAATTCACCGTCTCCATTCCCAGAAAGATCAAGTTATGGCTTTGTTCTTTTCTTAAGCTCCGAATTTGGCTTCATACTATATCTCATACGGGCTTTTATTCCTGAATCTTAGCCAAATTCCTTAGGTTGAACCTATTGGCCTCAAAAGTATTGGGCAGTTGCACTGCCCATCTACCTCCTTATTACTGTAGTAATCAATTATGTACTCTTATTTGGAGTAAATATGAGTACCTGGCCACAACTCCATTCAAACAATCACACATAACTATGCCAAAAATTAAGAGCAGAAGAAATACCAAAAGAGGCCATCCCAGCATTAAGAGATATTCCTATCAGTGAAGTAAACCAAATGTTCTATCTTACAGTCAAAGAACTTTACATAAAAGTATGTAGATTAACATAATTTTTTATAATTTTTGATATATTTTTGAAATATGTTGAAAATGTTAAGCTGAACTTCTCTTAGACTAAGTTCCATTAATACTGTAAATGTTCTCAAATATTAGTTATTAATGGACAGAATAAACAAAACATTGCATTAGCATAAAAAAGACAACAAAATGTACTCTGCCACTCATGGGAAGAAGAGTAATTCATGACACAGCTCCAAACCTTGAAAAGATTAAATGGATTAAAATAGTTCTTTAATGAGTATCTACTATAGGCAAGGTAATTTATATAAGTACTAGGTATATAATCTATATGAAATAGGTCTTACTTCAACAGGTTTGTAATCTAATATGGGAGAGATGGCTCTTAAAGGAACAACCCACAAGTTAAATGAAAAGAAGGCCACATTTTGAAGCCTAGCACACTGATTCATATTCTCTTTTTTGCCATCCAGGAAGCAAAGGAAGGACCATGGAGATGGCACAGCTTTAGGTCGGCCAGTCCTGGATTGGCATTCCAGTTTTACCACAACTAGCTCTATGACCTTGGAGAAATCACCTCATTCCCTTACCTTCAGTTGGGGAGGAACTGATCACCTCCAAGTACAAAAAGTATATATACATTATAAAGAACTATGCATTATGCCCAGCCGGGCGCGTCTTGGTGGTTGAGCATCCACCTATGAACCAGGAGGTCACGGTGTGATTCCCGGTCGGGGCACATGCCCGAGTTGTGAGCTTGATTCCCAGTAGGGGGCATGCAGGAGGCAGCCAATCAATGATTCTCTCTCATCATTGATGTTTCTACCTCTCTCTCCCTCTCCTTTCCTCTCTGAAATAAGATAAAATAAACTTTTTTTTTTAAAAAAAAGAACTATACATTAGGACTGAAGAACCTAATTTAATTTGGAAGATCAAGGAAGAGGGACCTAAGCTGAAATCTGAGTGGGAGTTTTGGGAGAAATGAGGTAGAGTGGCATAAAATGAGGTTGAAAGTAGGCAGAGGCCAGGCATAAAACTGAGAACAGTATACCCATGTTAAGGACTTGGGGTTTTATACCAGTGCATTGGGAAGGGTTTTAAGCAGTGGCATGATCTGATTTAAAAGATGGCTCTAGAGGTCTAAGTACCTGAATGGATTAGAGATGGGAAAGAGTAGAAGCTACAAGATTAGTTACTACAGGCAAAAAAAATAGGGGCTTGGACTGGAGAAGTGGCAACAAGATGAAAGTGGAGGGATCTGAGATATTCTGAAGGATCTACCTACCAGAGGATGTGATGATGAACTAATTACATGTGCAGAGTAAGGAGAGAGGTCACAGATACATATGATGGTCAGTGGCAGCTAGTATTCACTCGATGTTTTGTTGTCCTCACGATCAACCCTCAGAGGTAGGTGTGATAACGCTCCCCACGTTACAGATGAGGAGCACGGTGACTCACTTCACCGTGTGTTCACAACACTGGTCTGTACGGGGTGGAACTTGTGGCTTTTTAGTTCACAAATGTACTAATGTAGATGCCGTTTTCTGAGATGAGGGAACACTAGAAGACAGGCTGACTTGGAAAGTAGACATAGAATCTGTGACCCCGGAGACAGCAAGGGAAATTTTATAGGACTGGAGCATAAAAGAATACTGGACTAGAAATTGGAAAATCATTGTCTATACCTGGTATTTAAAACCATGGGGAAGATGTAAACATTTTCTTGGGAACACATGTAAAACAAATACTGCATCTGGTCAAATCTAACATGCCACCATAAGTCACATCCTTATTTTAGGCACCAATAATTAAGGAGGAATGCTGCCAATTAATTTTACGATAAGATGCATACTGATTCTACTTAAAATAAAAAGGATGTGCACCTTAGAATCATTCCAAGACGGTGATTATTGCAGTGAGTTCAGCATTCTAATAGAGACAAACAAGAGGAGGATGTGGTAGGGACAGGCTTTCCGGAGAAAGTGATATGAGCTAAGTAACTGAGCCAAGTGCAAACTCAGGTCTCCCTCTTCCAAGTCCTCCAGCCCACTTGGGTACTTTCATTTTTGGTTTCGTTGCTGTGGTTTCCACAGCTGGTCAGTGCTTCTCTTCCCGACAAGAATTAACTAACAGAGTTAGCAGCTCCTTCCGTCCAGGTATAGTTAAGCAATAAAGAGGAAGATTTCAGTCTCTGATTTCGCAATAGTGGTTAAGAAGCAAGGCTGTGAAGTTCAAGTCCAGGTCACACACTTGCCGCGTGACCTTAGGCAAAACACCCCCCCCCCCCCATCTCCTAATCTCAGTTTTCTTTCCTGTAAGAGACACTGCTGCTTTCATCCGTCATTTCTATGACCAACAAGTGAAATGACACATGTAAAGTGTATAGCAGTCTCTGGCACACAGGAAGCATTCAAATAAATGTTAAAATCATGTAAAATTGGTAAGAGCCATCCAATTCTCTTGAAGCAGACTATAACTATTTAACTAGTTTAAATGATTGGGGGAGGAGCAGTTCCCAAGTCACAGCCCCATTTTAGAAGGACTGTGCTTTATTTAAGTTTTCTAATTTGGGCTCTCAGGAGATTGCTTCTAAAAATATTCATCACGTGGCGTTTTATAAACATTAGTATATATGGGTAAATGGGATTTCTTTGCCCTTATTTTTAACTAGAAAACTAGTTCATTAGAAATACAGTCTCTAATTGTGGCTTAAAAACTAATGATTCATATATATATATATACACACACACACACACACACACACACATATATATTACACAGATAATGCATGTGAATAAATCATACATCATACATAAGTACATACAAATTTATTTTGTTTACTAACAAAAAATAAAACCCAAACCATATTTTAGTCGAATCATGTTCAGATTTCAAATGCGAAACAGTTCTTGAAATCCCATTAAAATATTGCAGAAAAATACAGGTTATCTTGTTCTTATATATATATATTTTTTTATTTTTAAAAAATATCTTATTGATTTTTTACAGAGAGAAAGGGACTGGGATAGAGAGTTAGAAACATCGATGAGAGAGAAACATCGATCAGCTGCCTCCTGCACACTCCCTACTGGGGATGTGCCTGCAACCAAGGTACATGCCCTTGACCGGAATCGAACCTGGGACCCTTGAGTCCGCAGGCCGACGCTTTATCCACTGAGCCAAACCGGTTAGGGCTTGTTCTTATATTTTTGTGCCCTGATTCTACCTCCTCTGTAAAGAGAAGTTAGAGCTAAGGACCAGAGAGAAAAATCTAACAGTGGAACTCCTGCAAAGGCCCGGTTCTTAAGCTCACTTAGAGGAAAGAGGCAGCTGATGGTCCATCAAACATTCTTAATAGTCACATTGACCATTACTAATAATGGCACTAATGCTTTGGTGAGGAACTTACACATCCTAGACTTTTTAGGAGGGTCTCAATTTCTAATATTCTTTCCCTTTGTCAAACCATGCCTGGAAATATGCCGTTACACTGTTTGGAAATATGTAACTAAAACTACAGTGCTTAGGTACAGACAGAATGACAAAAAAAAAAAAAATCAAAAGGCACAGTATATATATAATACTCACCCTTAAAAATACAGATCTTGAATTTGAAATAATAAAAATAAAGAATTCTGAGATGTGCTAGGAAGGTAAAAATATAAAACAAAAACTCCAACCAAACAAAACCCCACCTTTTTAGCCCTTAGTCTGCTGAGCAGCCAGTGTATTTTTAGATAAGACTTAAGAAATCAAGGACCACACCCAGCCAGCGTGGCTCAGTGGTTGAGCGTCCACCTATGAACCAGGAGGTCACAGTTTGATTCCTGGTCAGGGCACATGCCCAGGTTGCTGGCTGGATCCCCAGTAGAGGGTGTGCAGGAGGCAGCCAATCAAAGATTCTCTCTCATCATTAATGTTTCTATCTCTCTCCCTCTCTCTCTGAAATCAATAAAAATATTTTATAGTTGAGAAAACATAAATCAGATAAAGTAGATTCTGAAAACCTGGAATAAATGTATTAAAAGGGAGAATTTAATGAGTATAAGTGGTCCTTGAAATCGAACTGTGATCTCCTGGTTCATAGGTCAATGCTGAACCACTGAGCCACATCGGCTGGGCATAACTAGCATTGTTATTTATCCAATTCTAGCATCACAGATAGAGTATCAAAAATAATTCAGTGATTCTTATGTTATTCCAGAAGGAAATGTTAGGATAGTAGTCCCTTCCTCTGTTCCTCTCTCCACTCTCTGTAAGAAATAACCCTGAATTATACAAACTGCTCAAGTCCATAGGGTCCTTTATAAGAGCCAACGATGAACTCGATTCTA